CGTTAATCTCTCTAAAACTCGAAAACGGCTCGAACGATGGTTTATAAACTCAATTGGACCTGGTAGGTGGCGTTGTTGTGGAAATCCGGAAATTACCCATGCAAAGCCGGGGCGGATCGCTAGTTATACATAATATTTACTAATTTCATATGCGGTCATTATGCTACGGTAATTGTCGAAATTTGTAAGAGAGCGTCGTGTATGCAAACCGGTTCCAGTGTGGTCGCTTCACTGCATTATGCTGCAGTGATTCTTATGGAGATTATTTAACTGCTAACAAGGTATTCCAGTTTAGTCCTCAAAACATGTCTAAGAAACACCGCTAGACAACTTGCTTTTAAATAAAAAAACGCACCTAAATCGGTTCCCCCGTTCAAAAGCTACGGTGCCACAGACAAACACACAGCCAAACATACATTGCGATCAAACTTATAACACCCCTCTTTTTGCTCCGGGAGTTAAAAATAATATTTTTACCCGACTGCCCCAGAAGGGGAGGGTATTGTTTTTCGATAGTATATAAGTATGTCTTTCTTTAGCATGCTCTTGGCTCATAATATTTACATATTGCATCTGCACATACGGATTGTCGTCATCGTGTTGTTTTTGTTTAATTTTATATTCAACTGAATTGTATAATCTATCTACACCTAACAATTCAAATGGCTTTTTATCAAAAGTCTTTCAGTAAGTTTCGAGTTAATATCTTTTTTTTATAGGATAGTGTCAAACGCTGTCCACCTGATGGTAAGTGGTTTCTGTGGCCCATAGACATTGACATCTTTCTTCGGTTACAATTTAAAATATAGATGCGTTGTCACTCGTGAATACAAAGATGGAATGCCTCCTTTCCAATAAAAAGATCTCCGGTCTCTACATTCACCATACGAAACACAGCAGTTTTTTTTTTTTTTTTTATAGGAGAGGGGGCAAACGAGCATGCGGCTCACCTGATGGTAAGTGACTACCGCCGCCCATGAACAACCGCAACACCAGGGGAATTGCAGATGCGTTGCCGGCCTTTTAAAAAGGAGTAGGCTCTTTTCTTGAAGGTCCCTAAGTCGTATCGGTCCGGAAAAATCCCTGGTGGTAAACTATTCCACAAGGAAGTTGTGCGAGGAAGAAAACATCTTCTAAATCGCACAGTGGTGGACCGCCAATCATCCAGATGGTGTGGATGGTATCGGGAGTTCTGCCGCGATGTGCGTTCGTGAAATTTGGCGGCTGGGATTAATCCGAACAATTCCTCAGAGCACTCCCCATGGTAGATGCGAAAGAAAATGCAAAGAGATGCAACATCTCTTCGCAGTGCCAATGAATCGAGCCGATCGGAAAGGGCTCGGTCGTCGACGATTCGAGCCGCTCTGCGCTGGATGGGGTCAAGTGGAAGGAGCTGGCACTGGGGAGCCCCTGCCCAGAGATGGGAACAGTATTCCATGTGAGGCCGAACCTGCGCCTTGTAAAGTTGCAGGCGGTGTGCCGGCATGAAATACTGTCCCGCTCTGCTGAGCACGCCAAGCTTTTTAGAGGCCAATTTGGCCTTCTCTTCCAAGTGACCACGAAACTGCACGTCACTCGATATGTCGACTCCGAGGATACCGATACTGGCTGAGGCAAGAAGGGGAGTGCCTTGAAACTGAGGAGATACGACAAAGGGGTTCTTTTTAGCGGTAAACGCGCAAACTTGTGTCTTCTGAGGATTAAACTGGACTAGATTTAGTCGCCCCCAATCCGAGACTTTGTCCAGCAAAGACTCGACTTCAGACACAAGTTTGTACCGGTACTCGGCGACGTTTTCCCGAGAAATATTGGCCCGGCCGGTGTATAGAGCATCACCAGTGCTGTCATCCGCATAGCAATGAATGTTACCAGTTAGCATCATATCATTGATATGCAGAAGAAACAGCGTTGGTGATAGCACACAGCCTTGTGGAACACCAGCGTTAATAGGCTTGTAGTCAGAACATGCACCGTCTACAACGACCTTGATGCTCCGATCTGCAAGAAAGCTGGTGATCCAATTGCACAATTTCTCGGGAAGCCCATAGGAAGGCAGCTTCGAAAGAAGCGCTTTGTGCCAAACCCGATCAAAGGCCTTCGCAATGTCCAGACTAACGGCCAACGCCTCCCCCTTGGACTCTACTGCCTTCGCCCATCTATGGGTCAGGTAGACCAGAAGATCACCAGCTGATCGACACCGACGAAAACCGTATTGGCGGTCACTAATCAGCTGGTGATCCTCAAGGTACCGGATGAGCTGGCAGTTAATAATGGATTCCATTATTTTGGAGAACAAGGAGGTGATCGCGATAGGCCTATAGTTGGACGGGTCTGAGCGGTCGCCTTTTTTAGGGATCGGGTGGACAAAAGCTGTCTTCCATGAATTCGGGACTACGCCTTGGGAGTAGGAGTACCGGAAAAGACGCGTTAGGACCGGTGCCAACTCCGGAGCACACGTCCTCAGCACAATTGGGGGGATTCCGTCAGGCCCACTCGACTTCTGGATGTCCAGGGAGAGAAGTGCTTTGCGAACTGAGCGCTGTGAGAATAGCACATCCAGCATGGAGCACTCACACCGCGGGATGGTCGGCGGTATTTTCCCCCCGTCATCAAGAGTCAAATTGGACGCAAAAAGGGAGCCTAAAAGGTCGGCTTTGTCTTTTGCGTCTTGGGCCAGTGAGTCGTCCTCCCTGTGCAGAGATGGTAGTGATGGCTTACAGAAATTCCCTTGGACAGCCTTGGCGAGAGACCAGAATGCACGGGTTCCCGAAGGAAGGCGAACTAGTTTCTCGCCAATTCTGCCTATGTGCTCTGACTTTGCCTTGGCAATAACTCTTTTGAAGGACCTGGAGGCGAAGTTATACTTCTTTTTAAGTGTGCTGGTGTTTACATCCCGAGTCACCGAAGCCGCAGCCCAGGCTTGATAACACTCCTGCTTACTGCGCAATGCAGTCTTACAGGAGCGACCAAACCAAGGCTGAGATCTGCCTCCGATGGGTACCACAGATGATGGAATAAATAGTTCCATTCCCTGTAGCACCACATCAGTGACAGAGTCAGCAACAGTACTGGGATCATCCGGCGAGAAGCAAACCCGCCCCCATGGGTAGGATGCAAAGAAAGACCGCATTCCGTCCCAATCCGCCGACCTGTAATGCCAAACACGGCGGCAACCTGCAGAACGCAACCGCGAAGGGAGCGTGAGTGGCACCATACTCCGGATCAGACAATGATCCGAAGAGCCGAGAGGGGCATCGACGGAAACCTGATATCCGTCTGGATGAGAGGTCAGCAGAAGGTCCAACAGGGAAGGTGTATGATCCTCCACATCTGGAATCCGCGTAGGCGAAGTAACCAGTTGTGTCAGACCATATGCCAAGGCAAAGTCATAAACAGATCTCCCCGCATGATCGGTTAAACGTGAACCGAGCCATTCGGCATGGTGGGCGTTAAAATCGCCAAGGATCACGATCTCTGCGGATGGGACCTGTTGTAGCAAGGAATCTGTAGCCATTTGGACGTGGTCGATGAGTCGCTCTGTTTCGGCATTACCGCTATGGGACCTATAGAGGCACCCGTAGACGCGCGGATGGTCGTCGCTGTCTACGCGTAGCCAAAGGATGGACAGGTCCGAACCTTCAAGACTGCCGAGGCGTCGAGAACAGATGTCTTCTCTGACGTATACGCAAACTCCAGCCCGAGGCACAAAGGAGTGCTCCAATTTGTACCCCGGGTAGGAGAGATACGAAATATCAGTCGGAGAGGAAACCTGCGTCTCGGTCAAAAAGAGCAAGGCCGGCTTCGCCGTCTCGAGATGGTAGTGGACGGCGTTTAGGTTAGAGTGAAGTCCCCTGATGTTGCAGAAATTCACGGATAGCGTGGCAGGGGTCGCCTTGGTATTGTTGCTCAGCTTGCCCCGAGCAGTTTTGTTTTTGAGCGGAATTTTGCCCCCCCCCCCCCCAGAATACGCGGGGCAGCCTGAGCACCCACGCTCAGGATTGGAATAACATGGTCGTGGATGCTCAGCGAGGGATTCTCCAGGGGTGCTGGTACCCTCCTGGGGTAGTCTATTGTCTAATTCCGCTACCATGTTGATGGGGGGGGGGGGAATTGGGCCTCCGGCCACCTGCACTCACCAGACGAAACGCAGAAGCAGAGCCTCTACTTCACGCCGGTATTCTGTGAGGTCGTGGTACCAACCCGGCTCGAGCCGGCCCATACGTGCAACAGCTAAAAACTGCTGCAGGGCTCCACCACCGTTAATTTTAATTTTACGCTGGTGGTATTCTGTGAGAGCATGGTCCCTCCCCGGTCGAGCCGATCCATTTGTGCTACAACTATACTAATAATATAGCTGCAGCATGGATCTACTACGCATAAAATCTCGCTGTAAAATAAAAAGTTTCATACAAACTAAAAAACCTATTTCCCCTTCTTATGGTTAGAACTTTCAAAATTCATATTTACGTTATAAAAGGAAGCGATTGTCCTAATTTCCGACTTTTACGTTCAGCGGTATGGGCTATGCGTCTTAATACAATATTTTGGATACAAACTTTGCACCCTTGGTTCAAAATCCTAAGGGTAGATATTTTAAGAAATTAAAATCACTCATGAAGAGTTGCTATGAAAAATCTCTAAATCCGTATTCATTTATTTAATTTACAGAGAAATTTGAAGTAATTTTCCAGACAATCGTCCCGGAATTATATGTTTCATACAAACTGTAACACACTACTCCATCCTCTTAGGGGTTGAAATTTTAAAATCCTTTCTTAGTAGATGCCTGCGTTATGTAAGGCAGCTACTGTCCAAATTTTAGATTTCTGCATGTAGCGGTTTGGGGTATGCGTTGATAAATAAGATAGTCACTCAAGACATCCTCCTTTATTTACACACACTAATGTGACCTTCATTCTTTTACTATAAAATATAAATATTTAACAATAAATGTATACAATTTGTTACTAATAATATCTATTAATTAATTGTTTCTAGTTTTATAATTCAGTTTTGGTTCTGGGTGTTGGAGGAGGAGGTGCGGTTGGCATTGCATAATATTTCTCATAAATAGCATCCCAAAAAAGAAAGCGTTGCTGTATCAGAGGTCCGCGCAGTTTCATCGTCTTATCGAGAGACATATGAGGACTACCGTTTGCATCGGTAGGCGGCCACATTGAAAGGTCTGAACCCTCTGGAACCGGTTTTCTGTAATAATCAAAGATAATTAAGAACTTGTTATTTTTATAAAAACTTACGAGCATGCGGCTAACATGGTGGTAAATGACTATACTGCTACACATGAACAACCGGAACACCAAGGCAATTGTAAGTTTGTTGCCTTCCGACGTCTTATTACATTTAATATTCTTTTATCTTGTAGTAGCTGTGTAAAAATTTCCACTATCCTATATCATTCCGTCGTTATCGTAAGAGACAACAAATGGAAACAAAACAGACTAGGTTTAACACCTAGACGAAGGTTAACCGACCAAATCGGCGATACATTGAAAATGGGTCAGATTAGGAGTACCCTTAATCGACGAGCGTGTATGCGTAGATATATGGATGTAAAGGAGACGAGAGAGGTATGTCAGGATCACGCCAAATGGAAGTCCGCAGTCTCTGCCTACGCCTTTGGGTGACAAACAGGGTGACATGTGGAGATTCAATGAATGCAGGTGACTTTGTGACAATTTAGGAATGAGGCCTATGTCCAGCAGTGGACCTCTGAAGGGCTGTTTGTATCGACAATGATTATGACGATATTTTAGAATTATCTTACCCGGTTGTGATAAAGTTGAACCATAGTTCTCTCATCAACTGCTTCATATTTGTGAAATCTTTTGTATCAGCTGGAGCATTTGGCAAAAATTCGTCTCCTACAGCCATTGATTGTGCGCAATGGTTAGCACCACGCACAGCAGTGTAGGGCACTAACGGAACGTTATCATCCACAAAGGAATATTCATATAGATATATATCTTTGTTTCCAGATTCCACTTGCAACTGAACAGACTTTAGTGTGCCATACGCAAATAATATATCTGTAAAATAATCTATATATCTAAATATAGTTTCCTTGCCAACAGGTTTTTTACCAAAATAAAACTCCTTAACTCTCTGAGCAACTTCTTCTTTTTCTTCTGGAGTTGAAAATTTAAGATCACCGGGCAAGAAATCGGAGAACTTATCATTCATTTTACTAGACCATGTTTCAAAAACTGGCATTCTAGATAATCCTTCCATTTCAGCCAATCCAAATAACATTGGTAGTTTATGATTACGGCCACTTTTCAAAACGTTCAATGGAGCATCCTCAAGAAACCTTTCTTTACCAAGTTCCCGTTCAATACAAGGTACAAAAAGAAATAGAGAATCACTCCTATTTAATAGATCAATAGAAGTTAATGTATCTAATGAAACTGTTTTATAAAAATTCTCTAAATCATAAACATCCTTGGTCTTATCTGTATAGTTAAGTAGTATCGCATATTCCCAAGCATTTTCTACTGGGTCTGTTTGAACACTAAATGCAGAGAGACTTGCTCCACTTTCGGGTATAACCTTATTAAAAAGACTTTTGGTCATCGGCGAAACAAGGTGAAGATCAACCGACGATGAACCTGCACTAAATCCATTGATTGTAACATCATCAGGGTTTCCACCAAAACTGGCAATATTTTCTTTCACCCAGCGAAACAACGTAACTTGGTCCTTCATTCCAGCATTGCCAGGCACATCTTCTGTACCTAGACATAGAAAACCATGTGCACCCAAACGGTAATTGAAATTAACTATAATGATATTCTTATCTTTAATGAATTCTTTTGCCGTCATTAAGTTGCCATATCCCAATTGATATGCCCCTCCATGAACATGTATGACCACAGGTAAATCTTTTTCATCCGTGTCAGGTACGTATATATTAACGATTAGACAGTCTTCCTGTTGCTTAAGTTTTATAGCCCAAGGTGCATATACCATTTGTGGGCAAATTACATCTTTATTAACGGCTTCGAATGGTTCTGTCCATTGGGGCGGAGAAAGTGGTGCCTGTAATAAAAATTGAGTATTTAAAAAGATGTTTATATAATTTTTATTATTATATAAATTTTCACTTGAACTTATTTATATTATCATACTTAGATAGCATTGTACCGAAGTTACTAAGCGTTTGGTTGCAGCGTTACAAGGATATGGGTTTTAGTCGCGCACGGGAAAAATTTCGTACAGCGCACAAAGACGAAACACATAAGATAATACGGACAAAATCCGAATGTGGAGCGAATTTTTTTTAAGAATTTAATTAAAAAAGAAAACAAATCCTAATTTTGATTTCAAATATTAGGGTTTGCTAACGCAGTGGCGCTTAGTTGCGGCGCAGCTGATCGCGGATTCTGTTTCCTAACAAAACATGTATTTGTATGGCCTACTTTTTCAATCAATCCAGTCTGTTCATATGTAACTTATTAAATAAAGCGCTTTCTAAATAAGAATAAAAAGTAGCTTTTTATATTTTTAAAATAAAATATTCTGTTGAGCAATACGTATCTGCTAATATTATTTTATTATTACATACTATCTACGATTTTACGGACGGGATAGATACTCATATACTCATATAACTAAAGGTAGACATATGTTTCCTGGTACAACATTAATATAAAAAAATAGTACCTTAAATTTGTGATCACCCGTGGGTGCAGTTGCGTACGGTATGCCATAAAAGGCAAAAAAATTATCATATTGTGCCTTATACCCGCGCACAGGACCCTGGGCTATATTCACTAACTTCGCCTCACGGGTGTGCGTTTCCACTTCCGCAATCACCGAAATCCAACACAATAAGACTAAAACGACACACTTATACATTGCGCAACGCTATACTACCGCAATTACGAATTAACGAATACGCATACTCACATTAGTACAAATTACTCATCTCCATGACTGTGCGTTTATTTAAACAAGATCTTAATTTAATTCAAGGCTATCAGGTTTTATCGCAGAAATTAAAAAAAGTTTGTCATCATCATTATCATCGTTTTAATTAATTGATTTTTGTTTTGCTATCGATAGTTATATTACTATTACGTACTCCTGCTAACGTCCCGTTATCGACACCTACGTTACATTTGTGTAAAAGTATAAATTGTATATAAATGCCTTATCTTCTTCGACAGGTCGCTTATGGTTGATCTTATTATTTGCGCGTTTCATCGGGTACAGGTTGGTTTTAACAAGCCTAATTGAATAATAACCCATGTCCCTATATGAGAACACATATCACGGAAGTGTTATTAGCGTATCAGTGTTATGAGTTAGAGACACATAGACTTTATGATCTATTAAACATAATAAAGTTAGTGCCTCAGTATTTGCTTTTATCAGTATACTGAGCACAATGATGTGTGAAAATAATTACTTTCCATATGCAAGTCTCTTAGCTACCAATATTATTTTGTTTAAATTAACATTTCAAATATATTTATTTACGTATTAAATTTGTGTAGTCTATACTCAAACTATCACATGGACGCTTTATCACATTTTAAAATGATATAGATCGCAGATTTTAGTTAGACTAAGACCTGTCGAATGGAATGAAAAAAACCGCTTTAACAATCTTTCTCTTCTTACTCCAGTATATTTATCCTCCTTCTTAAATAAATCATTTTCTGTTTTAGCTGTACGCTTGCAGCTCTTTATCTATATATTCGATATCATCGTGTGTTTTCGTTATTCCTTTATTTTTTAACTTGATTGTATAATTTATGCACACCTTCCTCCTAGCTTAGTTGTGAACAATTTATTTGCGTAAAAAGGTCGTCTGGAAGAAAACGCTTCCCAAGTGATAAGGCCGCCTATTGTACTTTCTTTATTAATTTCATTTCATTTTGTTTCAGTGTGTATTGGTCTACGATAATGATATATTTATTGACTGAAAACTGCATAAAAAGAGTTTACAGTTTTATTGTAGCTTTATCCCCTATTTTCCCCTTAGGAGAAGCGTATCCAAAAATGTTTATACACTTGCTACTTAATTTCTACTCGAAGGCGTATAATAATGTTAACAAAGATATAATTAAAGCTTTTCTGAATTTCAAACAATTTTTCATTCTTAATTTTACTTCTAAGCGTATAATTATGAAAACAACTAAAACATTCTCTTTGTTTTCAATTTAAAGCCTAAATACAAATTTTCATAATATTTTACATGGAAGTTATGTATTTTAATACAAACTTTCTAGGAAATTTCAATTAAATAGGGTAATTATAGTAACATATAGCAAACAATAGTAGCATATAGATGGCATATTACCCTATTTAGGTTGAAATCTCCATAAATCTTTAAACTCTATTTCTTAATTTCAAACAAAAGCCCATAAACCAATAAAAATCAAACTTAAGTAGTAAATACAGGCATATACATATTTTGTATAGTAAGTAGCGCAATATGCTTAAAATGGTAGTTGTAGGTACATATTGTACCATATACCAGCTAGAATATAATATTTGAACACAGCATTTATTTTCTTATCAACAGCAAGCGCACAATTTACGGATTCAGGAGAATACATAGCGGCTTTTGAAGAAAGCTTAGATAATTTTGCGGATCCCGGATTTGTGCCGGTAAGTTTTAGTGAAGTAAACGACATTGGCGTGGGTGATACTAGGACAATGGGCCTCGAGGATATTAACGAACCTAGACTTAATAAGTCCGGGGCTAGAGCCTACGATGATGATAGTGAGGTTATAACTATCGATAATTATCACAATTTCGTTTTAAGGCTATCTCCATCGTCTTGAAAATTAAAAAAAAAGAAGTTTTTTCCACGCGAACTGTACCTTCGTCTTAACACTTTATAGGAAAATAAACAGTTTTAAAAATTTTAAATTACAATAATTAATTATTTTTTTTTACCATACAAATACGATATGACCCCATAAAACACCCTATTTCACCCTCTAAGGCAGTGGTTATCTAACTTATTTATGACGCACCCCGTTTCTACGAAAAAAATATCCGCGCCTCCTTGCTCAGATAATTTTATATTACTATCAGGTTAGAAAAAAAATAGTTCAGTTCAACAACATCAAATTTTTAATACTTTAAAGCTACACAATATTATACAATAACTATTTAAGTCGTTGCTATGAGCCATAGACATTTACATCTATCCTACTTATAGAATCAAAATGCAGATGCGTTGTCACCCGTGAGGACTAAGATGGAATGCCTCTTTTCCAGTACAAATGGTCTCTGGTTCGCTACACTCATCATACGAAACACAGCAGTATTAAGCTGGTATTTTACGCTGGTATTTTGTGAAAGCGTGGTACTACCTCGGTCGAGCCGATCCATTCGTGCTACAACTATAATAATAATATAGCTGCTGCATGGCTCTATCACGTACCTATAAAACTAAACTACTTAATTATATAATACTACTTCTTATTTAATCGAATTTAATGGATGAGTTTGAATAGTTTTAACGAGATTTCCGATTCACGAATTAACCACAGAAATCACACAACGCAAAGCACTATCGATGTTATGAGTAAGTTTATTTCTGTACTTGGTTATTATTGCTACAACAGCAGAAAGTCTCCTTTCGCACAAATATATATAGGAAAAGTGTAAAGACAATTGAAGTGCTTCCTTTGCTATTTTGGGATAAATTGTGAAATATTTGACCCAAAACGTTATTTCAGCAATATTTTCGGTGTACATACACTACACCTACCTACGGACGTTTCTTTGTCGTAAGATTCCTAACTACAAAACTAGTTCGTGCCCTCCTTTGCAGGTATCTGCGCCCCCTCCTGATTGACGCGCCCCCACGTTTAAAACCCTTGCTCTAAGGTTTGAATTTACCAAAATCAATTCTAAGTGGATGCCTACATTATATAAGGAAGCTTTTGTCTCAACCTCACGCTTTTACGTGCAATGGTTTGGACTATACGTAAATACAATATTATTTAAAAAAAATTTAACCCTCATTTTAAAAGATTAAAAAATAATATTAACGGATATTTCATTATTTTAATTCAAAAGTAAATGCAACAGTTGTTTTAAAAGAAAACAGAAATTATTTTTTATCCATACAAACTTGATCACAGCCAGCCCCCACCCCTCTCCCCTCATTCATCCCCGTAATGGATTGTGTTGAAATATTGCAAAATACGCGTTCATTTATTTTATATAGATACATTACTTTATGTCAATCGCCTCCTTAAGGGCGTTTCCCTCTCTCTCCTATAAAAGAATTGGATTTAATATCATAAATTATGTGTAAGCAAGCGAATGTTCGTATTAGAACCTAAGATAACCAGAAATGTTACGCTTCTTTTAGAGGTATTTTAAAAGGTATTTTAGAGGAATGCCAAAGTGTGGTAATAACAAATTGACTAATTTTCCATGATGAAAGACAATAATTCAGTACGGATTCTGTTATTGGTTTTTACTAACAATTATTATTTAGTTTTAGCAATCAACTACAATTATACAACAAAATACCATTAACGGCCTGATCCGTTACACTAATTTCGATTTTAACGTTAGTACATGAATTGGAAGGTAATAGTATAATGCACATATGATACATATTAATATAGTAACGGAAATGCATTATATATTTTATTTAACAAGACAACGATCATGTGTAACGTCCACCAGTGTATATTGCCAGTGATGATATATGAAACTGACTGTTACCACCCCTGAAGACTAAAATGGAATGCCTCTTTTTCAGTAAAAAAGGTATTCGATCCTCTACACTGTCCATAGGAAACACTGCAGCATCATGCTGCTATTTTACGCTGGTATTCTGTGAGAGCTTTGTTCTTCCCCTGACGAGTCAACCCATTCAACAAAGGTATTATGATTTTCTATTTCTTTGTATAATAAACGTGTATGTATGGATTACGTCAGTATATTCTAAGGCGTGGATCATTATTTACTTACTTAAAAAAATTATCTGAATTTTAACATGATCTAAAATAATTAAAAAATATTCATAATTTTGACATATTCCCGGGAATAAAATGCACCTACCTGCCTTTTGTTAGATTTTGATTCAAAATGTACAAAATCCCAATAACATGTGAAGAAACGAGTCCACCAAATAAACTTAAACAATTTTCCCCTATAAAAATATTTACTGTCATAAACAGTTTCATTTTTTTGCGTCCGTCAAGACAGAATCTGTTGACTCAAGACGCAAAATAGGCAGTTTGTTCTTATTTAATCACAGGACTTCTGAAGCGAATTTACGATCATATGTATTAAGGTATTGGAAGCTTTTAAGCCTTAAGTTTTAAATACATAAAATTTATATATATCACAAATTCCCTACACCTCATCGTGACTTTATTAATTTATGTTTTAATATTAATCATCATCATAATCAGTAAATTTAATATTTATGTTGCAAACAGACTTTCTTTACGACGTAAAATTGCGGTTGACGTTTTTATAGTGTTACATATTATTTCCATTCATTTATCAAAAAATTATATAATAAATTGCTGATGGGCATGTATTAGTGTGGCTGTTGTTAAGAGTTATAGCGCAGCGCCACGATATAATTAAAGTGGCTTGTGATTTATTGCAGTAACGTGCTTTCATTTTTATTATATGACGTTTTTAGATTGACTTGAAAGTAAAAATTGCCTTAATCTTTACATCGGTAAAATCACATCTTATCAAGCACATTTTTAGAACATAGGTCTTTCTAAAATCGCGCTAGATGGTGTAGAGTATTATAAAGTTTGCCGATACGATACTTAACATTGGGCAAGCGTGTTTGTTATACAGGGTTATTTTTCAAAGATCAGCCAAATTTAATAATTAAGTTCAAGATATAAAT